TGGAGGAGGGGGAAGAATGAATGAGGAGGACGACGAGGAAGGAGGGGGAGGAGGAGGAGGAGGAGGAGGAGGAGGAGGAGGAGGAGGAGGAGGAGGAGGAGGAGGAGGAGGAGGAGGAGGAGGAGGAGGAGGACCGTACCCTTGGCTCAAGCCGTTTCCTTCTCTGGTGGTCTCGCCTCCATCCGGGAGGGGTCAGGGCTCAAGTTTTCTGCCCTCAGGAGGGCACCATTTTTGAACAGATTACGGACTCACACCAGACCAGTGCTCCAGTCAGACATGGTCCGAGACGGAGAATCAGTCTGGTGGTGCCCTTGCGGACGCTACAACAAGTTGCGCTACCAGTCGTGCCTGTGTGGGACCAGCGTCCGCAATCAGGTCACGGGTGGCAAGGGCAAGGGCAAGGGCGCTCCTCGCGCCAGAACTCCTGGTCGTCGAGGGGAAGAACGTCGCAACCGTCTTCACGACAACTCGATGCAGCAGAACACGGCTCAGATTCAGCAGGTTCTAGCCAAGATTCTCCCAGCCACCAAGTCCGTCGCGGAGGAGCACGAGAGGTACGTCTCCCCACCCGAGGACACCAAGAAGTATCCAGTCTTCCGCGACTCGCTCAAGTTTCGCATGCAGGCCCTGGGCTTTGCTGTGTACGCCGCCCAGCAAGCAGACGCAGAGGACGAGACAGCGGTCGAAGAGATTGCAATGATCAAATACACGTTATCGGCGCTCAACCCGCTACCCCAGCAGATATTGGAAGCAAAGACGAGGTTGCAGCGCACAGTGGACAGACGCAAGGGGCTCCAGACCAAGATCGCCGAGATGGAGGAGTCGCTTGCATTCCTGGACGACGAGATCTATGCCATCGAGGATGGCATCCAGCAGCTCGAGCAGGCGCTGGAGGACGAGGAGATGATTGTCGAGGAGGACGACCAGCAGCCACCACCTCCACCTGGAGGCGGCAAAGCGGAGGCGCTGCCCAAAGCCGGGCCCTGGGGGGCTCCCCATCACGGGCCAGGCATGGGACAGCAGCCCCAGCAGGCGCCAGGCTTCCCGCCGAAGCAGCCGCCGCCCCAGGCGCCGCCTCAGCAAGTGCCAGGCTTTCCGCAGCAGCCGCCGATGCATGTGACAGGTGGTGTGCCACCACCGCCTCCCATGCCGCACCAGATGGCGCCGCCAGACTACAACCCGCAGCTGGCCCAGATGCTCTACAATCTCGTCTCCAACCAGAACAGGATGGACCAGGCCATGGGTCAAATCGTTGGTGCCATAAACAACCTGGGCTTGGGTCAGCCAGCTGCTGGCGTGCCTCCGAGGACTTTTCAGACAGCCGCGGGCCCAGTTCAGCAGCCTGCAACATCGCCGGCGGAGACGGAGGCTCACCCACCTGGACTGCCAGCAGCTGGCACCCACGGGTTCGGTCAGCCGCCGACCTTTACCTTCGGTCAGCCAGCCATGAATTGGAGCGACCCGAGGCACCCGAACCACAACCAGTACCTCGTGGAGAAGGCCGCCCAGGAAGCGGTCGACAAGGTGCCAAAGGCCACGCCCTTAGAGAAGGACGAGCCCAGGACACCAACGCCAGTCGGAGGTACAGCTACACCGATCTCGACGACACCGCCAGCCAACTCCCTGGAGCAGCAGTTCCACGCAGCGATGGCATCGGGCGAGACCATTCACGTCCCATCGTCAGCAGAAGAGGCGGCGTCAGAAGTTTTGGGCGAGCCCTTGGTCTCGCAGTATCCGTCACCTACACAGGCATGGGGGCCAGCTTCTGCCCTGGCGGAGGCCACGCCCTATGCGGAGATGCTGGCGCCCACGCAGTGCATGGCCTCCCAGGGCGAGGCGATCCCAGGTCCAGCGACCTCGTGCACCTCGCCTCTCACGGCATCGACAGCGGCCTCAGACGGCCCGTCACCAGGCGCAGCCAGCTCCGCGCCCATGAGCAGCCGAATGGACAAGAGCCGCTCGCCGCCGCACAAGCTACAGAAGACCGAGGACTAGACTCGGACCAGGGTGAATTGCATCTACGACGACAGCGACGACGACTTCACTGGGGATCCGTTCTGACCAGGCCTTTTGTTTCAGGTTCGAGGGTATTCGTTTCAGCCCTCAACTCTCAGCAGCAGCCTAGCAGGTCGATTTTAATTAAAAGTCCGTCGCAGCAGCATCAGTCTTTTAAGCATCCTTCCTCCCCCCCCACTGTCAGAGATCATGGTGCGGTCGACGCGTCCTTGTTGTGTAAACACGAGCTCGCTCCCGTGCTTCAGTTGCTGTCAGTTGGCCTCTTGCGTTTAAGTGACGCACTCTCTTACGCTGCCTCTCACTTGGTTTCGGTAAGTTCGAGGCATGCAGTTTCATGTGTCGCTAGGCCTAGTGGCCAAGATCTGTCACCACCACCCTGTGGCACTCTCCCTCCCGGAACCCCCTCTCCTGGTCGTGTCAGGCTTTCTCTGGAGCACACGTTGTTCAATCCTGGGGACAAATCGGTGAAGTTCGACTTGGGAGACGGTGACAGACTCCTCCGCGCTGTTCGTGATAGTGATCCTCTGTTGCTGGACGCCACGATGACCAGCGACCATTACCATCCAGCTGCCATCATGGCACTGGAAGTCTCCGACAGGGCAAGTGACATCGGAGGCAGCATCAGCATATACACAGATGGGTCCCTTAGGGAGAAGGACGACTACACATCTTGGGCTTTTGTAGTTACTAGCATCCAGGGGGACATGCTTAACTACCACGGGCACCTCAAGGGGTTGACGGGCCTATCTGTACCTGGGGAATCCCTTCCTACTCTTGAATCCAGTACCTTCTGCGAGCTCCTGGGAATCGTTTGGGCTCTGGTCTGGGTCTATCAAGGGCTGTCCCTGGGCACCATGGGGACCAATACCATCGTCAAGATTTACTCGGACAGCACCAGCGCTCTGGGACTTGTGCAGGGCTTGTTCGTTCCTACGGCTTTCAGAGATACCGCTGCGGTTTCTCAGCATCTTTTCGCCACCGTCCAGGCTGCAGTATGCTTGGCAGTTTACCATGTCTCTGCGCACTCGGGCAACCCCTGGAACGAGCTTGCGGACGGGATCGCGAGCGATCAGGATGTTGGCCCCAGTCCCCTCCCTAGCTCGATCGTTCAAGATCTTTACCATACCGTTGATCTGGATTGGGCCTGGATCACTCACCTCGACGATGATCGTCGCTCGGCCTACCCCCTCGACGGTTCGGGTCGTTTGTCTCTCCCCCTCGTTCCCCACGGGTGTCGTGAGGACTGGATCGGATCGAGCACTCCTGAGGCCCCCAAGGTCAAAAGATCGATCATATATGACTTTTCAGTTGTCAGTTTCAACGCCCTCACTGCTAAGGAAGACGCTGTTTCCCTCGCTCGTGAAGACGAGGCGGACTTAGGTTCAGCAGCAGGACACTCGGCAGTCCTGATGCGGCATCAGTTTGCTCACATGAACGTCCTCCTTGCTGGCATCCAGGAGGGCCGTAACAAAGAAGGATACAGGCTTGCCAACAATTTCCTTTTGTTTCGTGGCCCCTCTCACAACGGGAACCTTGGGTGTGAAATCTGGGTTAATGGGTCCCTCCCCTACGCTCGTGCTTGCGATCGTGAGTTCTTCCTTGAGAAGAAACACTGTCTGGCGGTCCACGCTCCTGCCAGATGCCTCATTTTGAAAATCAACGCCCCTCTGTTCAGGATAGTGGTGGCCTCTTGTCATGCCCCCCACAATGAGGAGCCGTTTACATCCCGTCAGGCTTGGTGGAACCACCTGAGCGAGCTATTTTTGCGCTTCAAGGTGGACTGCTGTTTCATTGATGCCAATGCCAGAGTTGGAGTCAACTCGACCACTTCGAGATGTGGAGATCAGGGTTTTCAGCAGGCGCCTGACAGCTCCGGAGGTCTCTTTTTGAAGTTTCTTGAGGAGGTCAACCTTAACGCGGTCAATACGCTCTTACCTAACCTGGACGGCCCCGAGAAGGCCTATACCTGGACAGCTAACAATGGGAACCAGCACAGGATTGACTATATTCTGATGTCTGACTACTTCTACAAAAACATGATCTCGGTTAACACTTGTTTGGATTTCGACATTCAGAGGGACAAGCCAGATCATTACCCGGTTGTTGGGGCCTTTAGGGCTCTCCATAACAAGGATATAGCGCCTCTCAGGGATACCATCAAGAGGGAGCTCACTAAGGACCCCCACCGCCGCGAGGCTTTCGCCATACTGCTGCGGAGTGCCCCCATTGTTCATTGGAATACGAATATTAACGAGCATTATCAAGTTTTGGTTTCGCACATCATCTCGTCTGCTAACATTGCGTTTGGTACCCCAGCTTCAGTTCCCAATAAGCCGTGCATTGACGAAGCTTTGCTTGCTGTAATTCAATTCAGGAGGCGTGTCAGGCAGATTATTCGTTCGAGCAGGAGAAAGGATTTCAAGGCCTTCATTTGGCACTGTGCATTATGCTCGGCGGACATGCTCGACCTTTCAGCACTGCCCGACAGGATTGCTTACCTCGCCATAGAGTTCGTTACCTTGTCTGCTAACTATGGGAGGGGATGTACTAGTATGGAAAACATCATCAGAGCCATGGGCACGTTCCTCCAGAGGTCCCAGAAGATCCTTCGCAAACACATCAAACAAGCTAGGGTCGACAAAATTAACAACCTCGGCAAGGAGCTTAGTGAGCAAGAGTTGGCTGGTCAGGCCTCATTGGAATGGAGCACGCTTCACACTTTGCAGAGGTTCGGTGGCAAAGCAAGTAGGTTCTGCTCGGACGGCCTACCGATGCGCATCGACGATCAAGGCAAGGTTTTGGACAGCGACAAGGCTATCGCTGACGAGACACTCCGCATTTTCGGGGCCAACGAGCATGCCAAGATTCAGAAGCTAACGGCCCTCTGCTTGGACTATAACGCTCAAGTTAATACGGACACCCCTGAGGAAATCAAGCTTGAAAATCTTTCCAGTCTCAGGACCCTCATGATTTCCCTCACTAGGTCGAAGAAAGGTAAAGCGGGGGGCCTCGACGGGGTCATTAATGAGCTTTACCAAGCAGCTGTACCGGAGACGGCTGCCATGCTTTTACCTTTGTTCCTCAAGATGCAGATGCTTTGTCAAGAACCGTTATGGGCCAAAGGAGGCCTGGCTGCGAGCATTTATAAAAAAGGTCCCTGGGTCGATCTGCACAACTGTCGGCAGATTTTACTCGGATCCACGGTCCTCAAACACCGCCATGCTTTCGTTCGCCGTGCCTTTGTTCAGATAGCCACGCAGCTGATTGGCGAGTGCCAGATGGGAGGCCTACCGCATCGAGGCACGGACCTCGCCTACCTCAGCTTGAGCCTGTTTCAGACCATCTGCGAGCAGATGGGCCTTTCCTCCATCATCCTCTTCTCTGACCTCACCCAGGCTTTCTACTCTGTCATCCTCCAGTTTGTCTCCTCCCTCAAGGGTCAGACTCAGGACTTGGAGGCCATCTTGGACGATTTGAAGGTTCCTGAATGCTTGACCCCCTTCTTAGAGGCCGTTGTCACTTCCCCCAAAATCCTGGACGATTTTGTGGACAAGCACGTTCACTACATGGTTGCCGAAACCTTCAGGACTCCTTGGTTCGAAGTCAAGGGCTCTTCGGCCCTGGCTCAAAGCAGGTCTGGTACCCGCCCTGGGATGCCCCTGGCCGGTTTTATTTTCAATATCATTTCCAAACCCGTTCAGGACGACATACACTCTCGGTTAGGTGCTGCAGGCCTACGGTTGCAGCTGGACAAGCTTCCAGATGCCAAGCGTGTTTTTCGAGCTGCAGACGGCAGTCAAGACGCTACAGCTGCGCAAGGATCGACCTTTGTGGACGATCTCATTACCCTTGCAGTAATTCACGACAACCGACTATGGCGACCAGCTGTGGAAAAAACCGTTGAGATTGTGCATTCAGCAGTGCGAGCTCGTGGTTTTGTTCCTAACTACGGACCTGGCAAAACGGAGATCATGGTTGCGTTTCGTGGCCCACAGGCCAACAAGTGTCGTGCTGAGCTTTACCACGGTCCTGCTCCCAGGTTCCAGATAGACAAGTACGACCTATCAGTGCCAGTTGCAGTATCATATAAGTATTTGGGCACCATGGTCGATAGGTGCGCTAGCATGGGCCCAGAGGTCTCCTACAGGATTAATCAACAAAATGGCGCCCTCAGCACTCTCAAGAAGCACGTGTTCAGGAATCCCAATATCGAGCCTAACACTAAAGTCAAGTACGCTAAGGCCCTATGTTCCTCGCGGCTCCTCTACAACAGCGAGATATGGTGCGGACTTACGATTGCTCAAAGGGATCGCCTTGACAACGCCCACTCCCTCCCCTTCCGTTATGCCACAGGGTGTTTTAATGCTAATCCCGTGTTGGACAAAGAGCCAGCAGCCAAAGCACTGAAGTTGGCCAATTCTGTTCCTGCGTCTACGCTCATTCGCCTAAGGAGAATTCGTTTGGTCTCGAAACTAGCTCGTTTTGCCCCCAACATCCTGCGGCATATGTTGGACCTGGCCCTGCACTTCTGTGCTGGTTGGGCGGGTGAGCTCATCCGCGACCTTGGATGGTGGAGCGACTTCCTGGACCTCCCTGGCCACCACAGGCCGATCGGTGATTTTTCCTGGTGGATGTACTGTTCCCTGGACGGGCCCCAGTGGAAATGCTGGTGTAAAAACGTTTTAAGCTCAGTCACTCGTTTCTTTGCTGATCAGGCGGACATGCAATGCTGGCACAGCCAGATACGCCACCTTTGCATAGATGATAATATACCCCCCCCTCCCTCGGTGAGCCTCCCTCCTCCCACCCTTATATATCCGTGTGATAACTGCGACTTTGTCGCTAGGACGCTTGCCACCTGGAAGGGCCACTGTACCAAGGCCCACCCCTCTTTAGACCCTGCCCAGGCCGTAGCACTTGGAACTGTTTGCCAGAGTTGTTGTCGAGAGTTTTGGACTCATCCTCGTCTCTTGAAGCATGTGAGGAGATCCACTCGTTGCCTGTCTTCCCTTGCCGCGGTTATGACGCCGCTCAGCGATGAAGATATCTGCGCTGGCAAGGTTGAAGATGCGATTATCACCAAAGCACTAAGGCAAAAAGGTAGATACGCTGAATTCTCAGAGGCTCCCCCCGTGGCTATCATAGGTCCGCGGCTGCTTGGTTGCCCGTGCTCGCCCGTTAGTGCCTTGTCGCGCCAGCCGGTCGAGGCTCCAGAAACTGAAGTTGCTCCCGCCCAGATTGACAGACCCTTAGCCACGGGGGTGTATTATATTTTCAGCCTTTTTTCTGGTCAGCGGCGCCCCAAAGACACGCAATATTACTTAGAAGGATTTCTCAGGGACAGCCCCAGGCCGGTTTTGTTTTTATCCATTGATATTGTAAACGATGCCAGAGTAGGTGACCTCGCCCGCCCTGAGTCTCTCGCTATTCTGCTCAACTTCATACGTTCTGATCTGGTGCTTGCTTTGTTGTCAGGACCTCCATGTGAGACATGGAGTTGTGCTCGTGCCCAGCCCCGGCCAGAAGGTCAGGACCGCCCTCGTGTCCTCCGCTCCTCCTCCTCCCTCTGGGGGCTCGGTCACATCTCTCCCAAGGAATGGCAGCAGGTCGCCCTAGGTAATGCCCTCCTCAGGGCGACCGTGCTCCTGGGCATGGCCGCGGCGGCGCACGGCGCCGCCTTCATCATGGAGCACCCGGATAGGCCGGGCCCCTCCCATCTCCCGAGCTGTTGGTCCCTCCCTGAGGTTCGGCATTTTACGGGGTTGATAGGAAAGGCCGCCTGTTCTTTTGTGGAATTTATCTCGATCGATCAATGTGAGTTTAATTCCAGAGGACAGAAGCCGACATGCCTGCTCACTGTGAATGCACCGAGAGTTCGTGAATGGATTGATTTGCTGCCCAACAGGGGCCGCTGCAGTCACGGGTTTAATCACCCCCCCCTCCTGGGTCTTTCCAACCGTGGCGGCTTCAGGACAGCCGCGGCCAAGCAGTATCCACCGAGGCTCTGTCGCCTCCTCGCTGCTGCAGTTCATGAACAGTGCTCGGCCATTCCCCCCCCTTCCGAACCAAGGGACATATGGGATGCTGTGCACCCAGAGTTAGCGGCGTTTTATACCCCCCTCGATCCCTTCTATCAGGGGCATGGTTGGGATTGGTTTGGGGCGGATTTCGCCGCTTAACCCCCCCCTCCTCCCTCTCCTCCCTCCTTTGCATGGCCTTGCTGCTGTTGCTGTTGACACCTCGACCTCATGGTTCCCAGGGGAGTGCGTAGTAGTAGTAGGAGGAGGAGGAGGAGGAGGAGGAGGAGGAGGAGGACAAGGAGGAGGAGGAGGAGGAGGAGGAGGAGGAACCCCTGGGGGCCGAACATGGCGAAAGCCTCCCGTCGTTATTTTTCCGTTGCTCGAGGTGTCTGGGCTCTGGGCCCTCGCCGAGGGAGGCTCCGCTGACGTGCCGTTCGACGGCCGGGCCGCTGCAGCGAGGCGCCCCGGTCGGCGGGCGCGAGCCCTCGGAGAGGGCGAGGGCGTCGTGGTGGAGGCGAGTCTGCCGGGGCGCCGCGGCGGAGGTGCGCTGCCAGGAGGGCCCGCCGGCGAGGCCGCCGAGCTCCCTTGGATGGGGGCCCTTCGCAGGAGTCTTGGCCTCTGGCATCCCTGAGGTCCTGGCGTGCAATTTTGTCACAGAAGGCGTTTTCGCTCAATGTCGGGTGGGACCCTCACAGATCGATCCGGTACGATTTGTTGTTTTTGTTTTTTTCATTTATTTTTTAACGTCGGATCTCAGGGCCTGGCCTCGCACAGGAGCGGCGTCAGAAAATGGGGTCGTCATCGCTGACATGGGCGCGTAAGCTGCCCGCGAGAGGTCGCGCGTGAGGGCCCTCGTCTCCAATGTGGCGTGCCGCGCCGGCGGCCCGCGTGGGCCACCGCGTAAGGTCGCTGTGCCATCTCGCGCAAGGCCCGTTTTTCGTCGCCCCCACGGGGTCCGAGCAGACCCAGGCGTGCTCGCGTCGTGGTCAAGAGTCGCGGCGGAAGGTGTTTGGCCGCTTTTTTGGGGGGGCTCCTGCCCTCGCCCAGCCCTGGGACCGTCAAGGAACGGATTCGCGATGAAAAGCCCGCGGGTCGGGACTTCCACCAGCCACGCGCAGAGGGGGGTGGGAGGAGGGGGGAGGGCTTCGTAGAAACACCCCTGCTTCTTAGAAAGCGCGGGCCTTATCTATGGATGTGAGGCCAGCGCCTTCTAAGAAGCAGCCTCCTTCTAAGAAGCCCTCCCCCTCCCTCCACCTCCTTGTGCGCGCCGCCAATTCCAATCGGAAACTGGAGCATCTACATTACCAGTGGCGGGCTGTTTTTCAATCCCAGGACTTTTTGAGGGTCGGGGACGACGTCGGGGTGGTGTGGTGTATATTTGGTGTCCCGTTTTCCCGGGGAAACAACGAGAAATGCATACACCAGGAACCCGTATATAGCAGGATACGCTATCCTGTGCAAGTGTCAGTGCAGGGCCGGTAAAGGGAGTTTGTTCCCCTATCCAGGGAGTTTGTTCCCCTATCCAGGGACCCCGCATGGAAAAAAGGCTGGATATCGCATGTCTGGGATCCCAGGGGGGATGCGAGAGGGAGCAGGCCTGCTCAGAAGGCGGCGGGGCTTCACAGAAGCTCTCGCGCATTCGCTTGCAAGTCTTCTCCAATGCGCGAGGGCGGCTTCAGAGAAGCCCAGCCGCCTTCTGGGAAGGCCTGCCCCCTCCCACTTCCCCCCTGGGCTTGCCGCCGAAGATGGGGCCTGAGGATCGCGCAGCATTGCCGATGCATCGCATCGGCGACGCGGCTCGATGTGGAGCCCGATGTTCTCCATGCCGACGTCTCCGATGCATCGCCGACGTCACAGATGCATCGCCGATGTATCGCGGCCGGCGCTGCGGCGCGATCCTTCGACCCCATCTGCTCGGACCTCCCTTGGGAGGCCTCCGAGGAGAAAAGCGCTGGGAGCGGCACCGGGCTGGGAGCAGAAGCTGCACGCCCTGGTGGGCGCTTTGGTCGGCCTTGGGGTGGCGTTCGCGGCCTTCTGACTCGCACGGTGGTGGTTGCCGAGTTGTGTGGAGATCTGTGGTCGCGCGCTTCTCCTTCCCAGAACAAGCATAAGAGATGCACTCGGCGGCGCGCTCAGGAGGGGAAGGCAGCGGGGGCAGAGCCCTTCTCAGCATGCGGCGGGGGCTTCTCATGAGGCACATCCCGCCTTTCGAAGAGCCTTCTGGGACTTCGGGTGGGGGTCAAGAAGGCCAGCCCCCTCTGAGCCGCGAAGGCAAGTGGCGGGCGAGACTCGGCTACGACGCGCTGGAAGACACCAACGGCCTCGGTCCCCCCCTGGCGTGCCGCCGATACATTTGTGGCGTCTGCGCATCCAGGCCTCCCAAGCCCTGGGGCCGCGCATTGAGAAGAGCACGTCGTTGGATGTCTTGGCGTGGGGCTGGAGCAGCTGTGGTCGAAGGATCGCGCCGCATCGCCGATGCACCAGGCGTTTCGGTGCGATCTGGAGTCAGATTTTCTCCGTCCCGACGTCGAGGAGAAGGAGGAGGAGGAAGAGGAGGAGGAGGAGGACCAGGAGGAAGAGGAGGAGAAGCTCAGAGGAAGAGGAGGAGGAGGAGCTCAGGGCCCCCCCCCTCCCCTGCCCTCCTCTGCTCGTCCCCTCTCCTCTGGCCTCGGCCCCGACAGGGAGCCCTCGTGCTCGCCGCCGTCGACCTTCCGAGCCCGGCCGGCGTCTGGCGTGGAGAGTTTCTTCCTCTCCCGCGCGCCACTCCACGCCCCTCGGCGGGCGGCATCATGCTGATGGTTCGCGCTGTGGAAAAAATCAACCGCGCCCCTCGGCGGGCAGGGAGGATGACAGTGGAGGTCTTCCCCCCCTCGCCCCTGGACACTTGTTCAACGCGAATACTACTCCTCTCTCCCCCGAAGGTGACTGGGGAGTCGCCAGCCCCGCTCCGCGCGAGTCTCTTTAACACGCAGGGATTTTGAAGCATTGGTGTTTCTGATGCTTTTTTGTCAATCGGACCGTTTCCGGTGTCTCAAAACGGTGCTGACGCTGCAGCGCTGTTCTCATCTAGGATCGGCGCTTTACTCCTGTCGTGTCGAATGGCGCTCTGGCCCGAGCGCGCGCCACTATTTCTTGGATCCGAGTCTTTCCTCATTGTTGTTGGCCCCCTCCTTTCCCCTCCTCCGCCTTCCCCTGGTCCTCATGCTCCTGCCGCTCCTTATACTCCAGCCCCTGCTGCTGCTGTTCGTCCTCGTCTTCCTCCTTCCTCATTCTCCTTGTCCTCCTGCTCATCCTCCTGCTCATCAGCCGCCACCTCATTCAATGTACGCAGCTCCTCTTTTTCGATTGCGCATGACACAATGTGGTCCTCTTTGGCGTTCGAGGTCCGCTACGACGCGCGTTAGTGGAGAGAGAAGAAATCAGTGCAATGGGAAGGGATGGGTGGGAAGGGGTAGGATGTCAGATATGGCGCGAACGCACCTAATTAGCTTGCCCCCCCCCCCCCCCCCGTCGCTTCCTCTCCCCATCCCCCCCCGAGACGCGGCGCATCATCATTTCCTGTGCAGTCGCAGGAGGGCGTTGGGATATCACTCCTCCTTGTCCTCCCTCGCTCCCTCCCTCCCTTCCTCCCTCCCTCCCTCCCTCCCTCCCTCCTGCCTGCTCTTCATCGCCCGGGCGCAGGCCAAGGCGGCCGCGTCGTCGGTGCTGCGACCTAAGGACGAGTGCAAGCGGCTCCTGAGATCCGCCCACAGGGGAAGGCTGAGGCAACCTTCTGCCAGGTGCTGTGTTTCATGCCTCGCTCGCTGTCTCTCCTAAAGGTTGGCGGTTGTGACTCGGCCGCCTTTCTGTGGCCCCTGACCCCCCCTCTCGCTCGAGCTTCCCCGAGGTTTCCGGAAGGCCAACCACGCTCAAACACCTCGCCTCGATCCTCGATGCTCCTTGGCTCTCGGGTCATAACTCGGCTCTCAGGCGGCCGTTCGGGACGATCTGGGCACCCCTGGAACACTCTCGGCGAGGCGCAGCTGCTGGAGAGCACCCCGAGGCTGGACAACTGCCGAGAACTGACACAACGTTTGGAAACCTGGAACCTCGAACCTCCAGAAGGCCAGTCTTCTTCTTCTTCTTCTTCTCCTCCTCCTTCCTTCGCTCCATGGCTTCGTCGTCTGGCAGTGCCGTTTTCAGTACTGCGGCGGCCAGGCCCAGTCCTTCGTCAAGCTGGAGGGGAAGGCGCGCACGAAGGTGAGGCCCACTTTCGCTTGCCCTCGTCCTGCTCCCTCTCGTCCTCGCTCTCGATTTGGAGGAGGGGCGAAGCTCGAGGATTGTGCTGCTGCTGATGATGACGATGATGATGATGATGATGATGGTGATGATGATGCTGCTGCTGATGATGATGCAGATGATGGTGACGATGGTGATGATGCTGCTGCTGGTGATGCTGATGATGACGATGCTGATGCTGCTGATGATGATGCTGATGATGATGCTGATGATGGTGATGATGATTGTGTTTATGACGATGATGATGATGAAGAACATGCTGATGATGATGAGTAGGATGATGATGATGATGATGATGATGATGATGATGATGACGACGACGATGATGATGATGATGATGATGATGATGATGATGGTGGTGGTGGTGGTGACGACGATGATGATGATGATGCTACTGCTGGTGATGCTGATGATGACGATGCTGATGCTGCTGATGATGATGCTGATGATGATGCTGATGATGGTGATGATGATTGTGTTTATGACGATGATGATGATGATGAAGAACATGCTGATGATGATGAATAGGATGATGATGATGACGATGATGATGATGATGATGATGATGATGATGATGATGATGATGATGATGGTGGTGGTGGTGACGACGATGATGATGATGATGATGGTGATGATGATGATGATGATGATGATGATGATGATGATGATGATGATGATGATGATGATGATGCTGATGATGATGATTATGATTATGATGATGATGATGATGATGATGATGATGATGATGATGATGATGATGATGATGATGATGATGATGATGCTGCCTCGAGGCTCGAGGAGGGTGCTCGAGATTCGAGGATCGTTTCGTTGTGTGTACAGGTGTCTGCATATCCTCAGCGTTTCGCGGCACCGCGTCCAGACAGGCTGGTGCTTCACGGCTCCGCCGCCGTCTTCCTGTGTTCTCGTGGGCCGACGTCTTTCCAGATTCAGGCCGTCCCTCGGTAGCAAATCATGGGAGCCTCGCAAGCCCTCTGCATACCGTCTTCAGCGCCGATTCGCGTCGATTAGCGTCTGGGAGTCGATGAGATAGCGCCGATGTGGCGTCAGCTCACGTCGTTTAGCGTCGATTTAGCGTCGACTCGCAAGAGCTGACAAGACGGTATGGAAGGGCCCCGTGAGTTGCCAACGAACGGCCGTCCTTGGCCCTGCTGGCGCACTGGGGAGCGATTCGACTTGTCCTGAGCCGTCGAAGCTGCTTTGTGGCGTCCCCAACGGCGGCCACCTCGAGCGGCCCGGACGCCGAGCGCTTCGCCCTCTGCTGGCAGCTCACCGTCGGACTGCTTGCACGACCTCCTCCTCCTCCTCCTCCTTCGCCTCCTCTCGGTGCTTTCAAGGGCTTTCCTATCGGTGCTCTCAAGGGCTCTTTCCTGATCCTGGCGCTCAATTTCAACCAAGGTGGGAGTTGGGCTCTGCCATCGCGCACGTTTGCTGGCACAACACGACGGGATCGCGTCACAAGCTCGAGATGCATCTGCGTTGGCCTTGGCCGCGAGCTGAATCTGTTCGTCAGCTAGCTATCGTCCACCGCGGGGAGGAGCATGACATTCTTCGGCACTGGTCTCACGAGGTGACGAGCTTCTTGCCACAGCACTTGGTCGCTCAATGGCCCGAGAGCGAGGCCGCATCAGACCGAGCGCGCCCACAGCATCTTCCAGATGATCGCTTTCGTGGGCATGAGATGTACTGTACGCTGGTGGACAGAGTGGGTATGTGGTCCCATGCGTGGCTACCGTCCCTGCTGGTTGTCTGAACGGGGAGTGACTTCCAACAGTGGATGGAGTGGTGCGTGCCTTATGCGGCTGATTTGCTTCGCTATTCTGGATTTCGCGATCTGCTGCAATGTGAGGCGAGGTCTATCTTCAGCAGCGCCAAGAGGTGGGAGGCGGCCATAGAGGTCTGCATGCACGGGTGGTACACAGGGGCTGGTCCACGAGAACTCCTCCGCACTCAGTTGAAAGATCCATGGGTTGTTCGCGATGATCTCAGGGTGCGTCAACTTCGTCGCCGTGGGCTTCAGCTGCTTCGACAAACGGGATGGAAAGCAAGCATCACGCGCATGCCAACGGAAGAAAGAGAAGACTACCTGCTGATTCAAAGGACATTCTCGCTGGAGGGCCGCCGCCTGCGCTCCTGCCCCTCTACTTCCTCTACATCACGTGCTCGCTGGCTCTGCTGTGGGTGTGCTCGCCTCTGGTGAACCATTTCCAGATGAAAACGATGGTAGCATTGGTGCTGATGGATATCCCAACCGGTCAGACGTGGATATCGAGATGATGCAAGCTGCTGTTGACGAATCAACCTGCGCCGAGGCTGCTGACCATGGCGCTGCTGAGCCGCATGAGAATGACACTATGTCTCCTGACGACTATGCCCACCATTTCGGCCCCATCTTGTCTGACGAGGAGTTCGAGAGACATGTCCAATCTGCGCTGCGACGGTCCAGGGAGGAGCCGCAGGCTGACGGACGCGACCCCGCGTCGGCGTCTTCGTCGGGATTGGCTGGTGCATCTTCCCACGGGTCGATTTCTGCAGTGCCGCTCCCTGTTGGGCGCGACGGAGAGGGCGACAACTCGAGCGAGACCGACGGTGAGTTTGACAAACGATTGGAGAGGCCTGACGGCCGGTGCCGCCGACCCTGATCGAAAGGGCTAGGAGTGGGGGGAGGAAACGGAGGAGGAGGAGGAGGAGGAGGAGGAGGAGGAGGAGGAGGAGGAGGGGAGAAGAGGAGGAGGAAGGAGAGGTGATGAGGAGGAGGAGGAGGAGGAGTTGAGGAGCAGTGAGGAGGGAGGAGGGGGAGGAGGAGGAGGAAAGAGGAGGAGGAGGAGGAGGAAGAGGAGGAAGAAGTGCATCCTTGTGTCCCGCTCGAAGAAAGTGCGCCCCGGAGTGTGATATTTCTGACGTGGGTCGTGCTTCCGGAAGAGGAAGAAGTGCATCTCCGGCGTGCCCGCTCGAGGAAAATGCGCCCTAGGGGGGTGGTATTTTGACTCGGGGCCCGCTCCCGGGACGCCTCTGCGGGAGGAGGAGGAGGAGGAGGAGGAGGAGGAGGAGGAGGAGGAGGAGTGAGGAGGAGGAGGAGGAGGAGGAGGAGGGGAGGAGGAGGAGGAGGAGGAGGAGGAGGAGGAGGAGGAGGAGGAGGAGGAGGGAGGAGGAGGAGGAGGAGGAGGAGGAGGAGGAGGAGGAGCGAGGAGGGGTAGGAGGAGGAGGAGGAGGAGGAGGAGGAAGGAGGGAGGAGGAGGAGGAGGAGGAGGAGGAGGAGGAGGAGGAGGAGGAGGAGGAGGGGGAGGAGGGAGGAGGAGGAGGAGGCGGGAGGAGGAGGAGGAGAGGAGGAGAGGAGGAGGAGGAAGGAGTGAGGAGAGGAGGAGAGGAGGAGGAGGAGGAGGAGGAGGAGGAGGAAGGAAAGAGGAGGAGGAGGAGGAGGAGGAGGAGGAGGAGGAGGAGGAGGAGGAGGAACAGGAGGAGGAGGAGGACCAGGAGGAGGAGGAGGAGGAGGAGGAAGTGCATTCCCGTGCGTGCCCGCTCTAGGAAAGTGCGCCCCGGCGGGCGTCGTATCTGCGCCGGGCCCCCCCCCCTCCCCTCCCTCCCCCCCCCCCCCCTGCGGGGAAGGGATCAAAGGGAAGGGGGTTCCCTTCGACTCCACTACGACGTCGTTTAATTTCGCTTTGGATAGCGTGCTTGAGGAGGAGAGCCCTGGGAGGGGGAGAACGGAGTCGACGGAGACGACGAGTCGAACGGAGAAGCCCCTCACACACGCCGACAGGGTCGGCGGATTTATCCAGACGGTGATTTATCCCGACGGTTCGCGTGGAGGTGCGCTTCGTGACGAAGATAGTGAGGTGGCTCCTGAAGGGTTCCCGTCTGCTGGTGTGGCTGGGCCTGCTGAGGGACTACCTGGCGGTGCCGATACAACCGGTGCGCTAACTGGGCTCGGCGAGGTCGATGACGACGATGAGGAGGGGGCTTTTCAGCAGTTAAGGGCTTTGCAGGCGGTCAGCACGTTCGTGGCTTCGGTTCTCTCTGCTTCTCAGGCTGAGCCTTCGTCAGCGCGCTCGGCGGGCGATGCCCTCTCGCCCGCGCAGCTGGTCGCGGCAACAGAGTCCATGGACACGCACTACCGCCTGTCGGCCGAGCACCGCGAGCTGGTTCTCTGGATGCTCCACAATCTTGGCTCACAGATGGAGACCGACGCTAGCACTAACACCTCACTGCCCGTCTTCGGCACGGATATCACCATCGAAGATGACAAAGACAGCGGCTTCGACGAGCTGATGCTAGCCACAGTTAGAATGAAGAGACAGACGCGCTCGACATCATCCCCATTGAGGCCATGCAAGACTTCGCTAGTCCTGATCCTGACTCCGATCCTGATGATGTTCATGCGGGGACGTTAGCCATAGTGACGTCGGGGGAACTCTGTGCGGGCCTTCACGACCACATCGACGAGCGGCCCGCGAGCGTGAACAGCAACACTGAGTACGTTTCTGATTTGGAGGGTACGATGGTGCAGGAGGTCGTCGAGGTCGTCGCCTCCCCCGATTCACCAGAGTTGAACTCCGTCGACGTTCCCTCCGTGATCGCCAGCGCCGTGGACAATGGCGACGTCGCCTCCTCCGCCGAGCTTCTGAGCGGCGAGTGTGAGGCGGGCGCGCGCGGCGGCAGCGCGGCATAGACAAAGACGCGCTTTTCAGTGGCGTGGGATCGTCCTCCTAGACGACCCTTTTCTCTAATCCTATCCTCCTCCTCCTCCTCCTCCCCTCCTCCTCCTCCTTCTCCCCTCCTCCCCTCCTCCCCTCCTCCTATCCCTCTCATCCTCTCCTCCTCCCTCCTTCCTCCTCCCTCCTCTCCTTCCACCTCCTCCTCCTCCTCCTCCTCCTCCTCTCCTCCTCCTCCTCCTCCTCCTCTCCTCCTCCTCCTCTCCTGCTCTCCTCCTCCTCCTCCTCCTCCTCCTCCCTCCTCCTCCCCCCCTCCTCCTCCTCCCTCCTCTCCTCCTCTCCTCCTCATCCTTCTCCTCCTCCTCCTCCTTCCTCCTCCTCCTCTCCTGCTCCCCTCCTCTCCCTCCTCCTCCTCCTCCTCCTCCTCCTCCTCCTCGTCCTCCTCCTTCTCGTCCTCCTCCTGCTCCTCCTCCTCCTCCTCCTCGTCCTCCGCAGGGTTTTTCTGTCAGCTGGCTGCCTGGCATCTCGGCGGAGTGGCCTCTTGTCGAAACTGATCCTCGGCCTCTGACTTGGCTTGTTGGCCGGCTGGCTTGTTGCGCGCGTCCTGTCATCATGCACGAGGGGTGGTGGCCTCGGGAACGTACTTGCATGGTTACTTAATCGCTTCGGCCATCCCGCCGGCACATATTGTCTCGCCGCTTGGGGGCCGGGGGTTTCTGGGAGGCAGTTTTGAGACCTCTTGGGGGCCGTATTGGGGCCTATTGGAGCGCACTTCCATTGTCATTTGCACCGGTTCGCGGTCTCGGGAACCCCCTGGCTGGTTTACGAGGAGTCGTGGCCCCGAGCCCGTAGCCGAATTTCAAGAAAGGCTGGGAGCCGCACCCCGAACGCACATCCCAGTCCATAATATTATGCTTCTGCTGCTCTGGGGAAGGGATGGTGGCGCTTCTGGAGCGGCCTCCGTGGGTGCGTTCGTGGCCTCGAGGGAGCGAACCTGCATTCATTTGCGCGGGATTGGAGTTTTTTGGGGCGCAAGCTTGGTATTAAGTCGGGCGTGTCCCTGTACAGGAGGCATCTTCAATGACACTGGCGACGTACCCAACCCCTGCGCATTGCGGGGCATGAATAGCTTGGGATACGCTATACGGAGGTGATGACGTGACATGGGCGCATCTACTTCTGCGAGCGGCATTCGTGAGGCTCGCAGCCCCCCAGGGATTTCGAGGTCCCGTTCAGATTTGCGTGGTGCCTCACTCCGCTGGACCCAACAGCAGCCCTCGAAAATGGCGACAGTGTCGCAGAACGCA